GAGCCCTGAAGGAGCTGACGGCTTGCAGAGCTCCCACGCCCTTCCTCGCTCACGGGGGGGGGGAGCTGGTTGCTGTACGTGGGTTTTCACAGCTTGAATTCCCATCGAGTAAATCTCGCAGGATATTTCAGTAACTAAGCGGCGGTCAGGAGCGCAGCCTTTCCCTTCGAGACAAAAAAAAAAAATGCGGCGTCTGTTGCAGTTAGGTCTGAAAACCAAGCACTTGGGACAGACGGAAAAATCTGAAGTTTAAGCTCTCTGATAAATTATTGTTAAATATTTTGATTACTGTATACAGCGTATTTATTACTTGTCTTCATTTATGTTTGAGGAGCTGAGATTCTCTGAGCAAGTTAATCACAGCATTTCAATGTGAAATATTTTCATAGTTTGGAGCACTCAGATGAGTTTAAATTACACATTTTACTGGATTTTAATTGCAAGATTTCTTTATATAAATAACTTGGTAAATATTCTTTTAACCTCGCTGCGTGAAAATACATTAATTTACAATCACGCTAAAATTTACAAGCAATTTTTTTTTTTTTCCAGATGAAAAGCTAATGATGAGTGGATTGCAGCAAATTCTCTTCATTAGTTCGTGGCTATTCAGAGCCTTGCAAAAGAACTCACGTGGTTGCCTAACTACACAAAAATAGCAGAATTAATATTCCCTCCGAGTTCCCAGGCACCAGCCGGGGGGGGGGGGGGGCATCCCGCGAGCCCCAGGCGGACCCCGAAGCGCGTGGGAAAGAAGGAGTTAAAACGGGCAGCCTTCCTGGCGAGCCAGCCCGGACAGCGAGCGAGCGCAGGCCTTTCCTCTTTCGCCTTTTTTTCTTCTTAATTAATCATACGCTGCTTCGCAATTTAAATATGGAAATGGCGAGCCATTCGCAATTATTAATGAGCCTCCGGGCTGTCCTGTGGCGTTTCACGACAAGCTGTGTCAGCCCGCGGAAAGCAGCATGGCATCTCCTTTCTGATGTGTGTGAAATTTATGTGCACAAAGGCTCCTCCTTATCTATGCGCGAGCTAAATAAATAAATAAAGGCTTTTGTTTGCCAGGCTACTTGCACATGACTGTTTTGACTAAACCACTCCGCGTTATTTGTACTTTACAGTTTCTAGAG